ACCATTAACATTTTTCAGTCTCATCGTCCAATTCACAGCCAAGCACATATCCTCTGGTAAATGTGGACACCTGAGCACGAGAAACAGATCATATGTTTTACATACACTGTAGTATAATATGTCATTGTATTCTTTTAACAAACATTACAACATTTAAAGAACGCTGAACAGTGAGCAAGACCTCTGGCTGTGTGTGTGTGTGTGGTGTGTTGTGCGGCGCTTTGTGTTCATGACAGCGGGTCTACATCTGGTTTGACTGTGTATCAAACTAGATTGAAGAAATAATTCAGCAGGAAAAAGTGAGACCTACAGTAAATATACCTCAGTTTGGTTCGAACCTCTTGCAATCAGAGTCTATCAATTCATTGGCGTTGTAAGGAGGGTGAGACACAGGTGAACACTCAATCGGTTGAACCAGTACATGTGGTTTGGATCATGCTCCAGGGCTTTTTGTCTCCAGTCTGTTGGGTTCAGCTCGACTGATGTTGATGTCGCAGTAAATACCTCAACTCCATCAACCATCGTACGCCGACAAACCCCAGCCAATTATTGGTCTCAACACGCCAGTTGTGGAGAAAGTGCAGGGAGTGAGAGTCACTGCAGCAGAAACGGTTTTCTGTTAAGTTAAGCCTCTCGGTAAAGCTAATATTTCTGCAACTTAAAGCAATCTTATATTTAACCTAAAAAGTACTAATTTTGTTTTTTTTTAAAAGATACTGATTAATATCGATTTCATGTTTGGCTGCATCCAAACCTTGTTCACTAGTTTTAATAAGAAACGCAAGCTCCTCCTGTGAAGAATTCTAAAACGCGCTATCAATGTAATCAGAAGAGTAAAGAACGGAAAGTGACGAGACAAGTCACCGTAAGCTGCACCGAGAAGCCCTCATGCATAAGTTATATTAAATAGGAGCCAAATATAATGATAAAATACTTGCCACCGAAGTGTGTTAAAGATTAATTCTAATTGTTTTGTTACAATAAAGAAAATAATATGCTTTTTCCAGTGCAAAATACTGTTTTAAATTAAACCCTGCTTCTATTGTAATCATGTGCTTTTAAGCTTCTTTCCAGTAACTTTACCTTGGAATGTCACTTATGTATTTACAGGGACTCAATATTAGCAATTATTAATTGAGCTAATTTTTAAAAAAATTGATTTGGAACACTGGGTTATAAAAATAACAGAGGAAACATTCCTCTCATTATTATTTTTAAATTAGGCCCTTTAAAGAAAGTTCTGGTGTGAGAATGAGCAGCACACAAAGTTTCTTCAAACATATGGGCCTGTAGATAGAACCATAACGTGGTCAACAGTGTTTTCAACGAACTCATGGTGGAAATCTGCATGTTGGTGAGTAAGTATTGAGTAATAAGAGCTGATAATCTAACAACAAGGCGCTTCTCCAAGTTTTATGCCAAGATTTAGCAGCACAAATCTACAGAGGAGGTTTAGGAATTTACAATTTGACTTTTTTTCTCAGAATTCTGAGATTAGAATGTCAGAATTTCTAAAAAGGAAAGTCAGAGGTCACGTGTGAATTGTTTTGGAGTTGATTATTCTAAGTTTGTTTAGTTTTTTTTCCACATGTGGCCCTATATCGTCTTCCGTACCAGATCAATCATTGAGTTCAGGTATATTTGTCAAGAAGGATAAATAAGATCATTTCATCTAAGAAACTTCAGTCTAAAGTTGGGTATCCAAGTAGTTTTACCCCCAAAAAAAGAGTCGCTGTCATATATTAACAAACGTAAATAGTATCGGTGAAACTCAAGCTTTGCTGTTAGACAATACAAACAAGGTTGAAATAAAACGTGATCTCAACCTGGAGATACAACGTGACAGAAGAGGAGCACAGAAATAAAGTCTATCAAAAATGTCTTAAGTCGGAGCTGATCTGGTAGATGAATTCGAGGTGTATGTATACCACACACACACATCAACACACACACACACAGCACACACACCACACAACACACACAACACACACTGATATGATCCGACACACATCAATAGATACCTCTACACGAAGACAGTTTACAGAAATCATAAAATACAAACAAGGGACAAAACATGTGTTAAGAATGTGCAATAATAGGATTTTGTTACTTATATCTGATACCTGATGTACCTTACACAGCTCACAGCACTCTCTGTCACTAACATCAACTTTTATGAATTAAATGGTATGCAATGACTATTAGAAAACTTTGTTTTTTTTTTTTTAATACTGTCATGACAGTGGTATATGAAGTTTAAATATTTGATATTTAATATTAATAGTATTAAAACAAAGGCGCGTCCTGTGTGGAGGTACGAGCTGCCTATGAATATAACGCTTTATAGATTAGAATTAAGTCTCATTAGCCAGTTTTAGTATTTCCTTTGCACATTTTAAGATTTTAATTCGGACACAAATAAATATAACTTTACTGTAGATATATGTTCATGTGTTATTCGTAGATTTGTTTGTTTTCACAGAAAGTCGCGAGGCTTGTTCACTTATATAGAAACTTGCGTTCGGGTCGATGGTTTGCTTTACATGAGCAGACATGGACGATGGACATTGTTGGGATAGGTTTGATGTTTAGAGCTTTTTTCAAACTTGCTGTTTTAGTTTAGTGTAATCTGTTTCCTTGTGTAGTTACAGTGTTTTGCTTCCTATCTTGGTCCTGTATTTCTGTGTGGTGATTGTCTGCCCCGACCCTAATGGTGTTGTCACCTGTTGTTCAATCACACACGGCCTCCAGTTGGTTATATAGTACTTTTGTGCTCCCCTTTGCTGTGTCGGTTTTTCTGTTGATTTCTGGGTTTGTCCTCATTAACGGTTCATGTCTCCTGTTTAAGTTCTTGTGTTTTTCCCTGTGCATTCCCCAGCGTTGTGAAGCTCTTTTGTTATGAATAAATCCTTATGGCACACGTCTTCATGCTGTTGCTGCATTTTGGGTCCAGCTTTACCCTCAGCCTTTGAGACAGGTTATTCCAAAACACTAAAATTGCATCATTTTCTTAACTTCTTTATTTATAATGTAGAACTCATGATACCGTCCCTTTGCTGACAGTGGCACGCCATATGTTCTTTTTAGTAAGTGTTTGGCAAGTAGCCAGTTTTAAGTAATAAAAAGTGTGGTTTTGGGAGTTTGGCGAAGGAATGACGGAACAGAAAGCAAAGAGTGAAAGTTCCACTCCATTTCATTTTTGACCAAACAGTTTCTAGTTTAACTAGGAACCAAAAGCATGCTCACAAACAATTCTCAATGTGCTGAGTATTAAAGTTAGCACTCCTATGTGTGCAAAAACATTATGTTGATGTGTTTACAAAGGACAAACATATATAAATACAACAGTTCATCAAAACTGGGATTTGCATTAATTTCAGCTCTTACAATAAAATAAGCAGATACCACTTTCGATAAACTTGAAGTTTTTTTGAATTACAGAGAGTCCCCATAATCCATAGTGATGAATCACAAACTAAGGGCTTGGACCATATCTGCAATCTTCAGTATCTAGTCCAGTCCAGCCAAAATTTGCGATGTATGATAATATCATATATGTATTTTGTTTAATTTATTAATTGGTTATTTTGCTTCCTTCTCAATTATTATGAAAAAAATTGCATATGCCAGTAAATTACTTGTGATATTCAATATTGTTTGTTGCTGATTTCAATCCTTCATCATCAAGTCTCATTGCATACAATTATTCATATAACAATAACTCAAAGCAGCTGCTTAATTGCAATGATCCTGTGGCAAATTGTAAAGGTCAAGAGATGTTAAAACAAACCACCAAACTAAAAAAGAGACAAGTGTCGCATCAGACAACCAAACACAAAACGCATGTGCAGAAAATCAGGTTGAAATAAACTACATGTGTTTCCCATCTCTGTTAAGTGTCCTGATTCCAGCTTTAGCCTGAAATGTTGAGTTTAGAATCTGTTTGACAACCACCATTCATCCTTTCTTAATCCAATATTTCCCACCAGTTGGGTCCTGATCTCTGCTTTGTCCAGTTTGGTGACGATTAGTCCTCCTTCACTCTTCCAAGAGCTGAACCACACAAGTCGTACCTCCTCAGTCTCAGAGTTTTGTTGACTGATGAAAGTATCAAGACTTCATCTGGAGGTTATCATCATGGTTTGGGAAGGATCCTCTCCTTGGTCTCTACGTCCTCATGAAGCTCCTCTCCATCTTTCCTCCAGAACATCACAGCTCTGTGAGGGAAGAAACCTGTAGCGTGGCAGCTGACTGGAGAGGAGGGAGTCTTCTGGAGGAGAGACACTGAGGGAAGCTCTGGGGGAGAAACAGAAAACAACTTGTAGTTTCTATATAATTTTCTGCATACTAACATTACCGTTCCTGTTTGATGGGATGTGTTTGATACTTTTTGTTACACATTTTAATATATATGCCAAATGTAATTTTAAAAAAGGTGATGGTGGGACAGAGGAAAAAGACAGATGAAAGAATTTGAGGAGGAGAGAGAGAGAGGTAGAAAGAGCGGGGTGAGAGAGACAGTGATGGAAAGACAGAGTGAACAGAGACACTGAGCAGAGAGGAAGAAAATGGATAATATATTAAGTAGGATGACAGAAGAATGTGGAAAGGAAGAGGATGAGGTGAGAGAAGAGAGAAGTTGAAAGTGACGTAAACTGACACATTGCAGGTGATCGGTGGAATGTAGTCTTCTGTTGTATTTATTGATATCACTCGCGGGACGATGAGTTACAGTGAAGACATTTGTATCAGATACGTGTGTAGACCTGCATGGGCAATGTAGTTGATGTGGGTTACTACGGGTGTTCTGAGAGTTCTGAGAAACTATCATCAGAGATGCTCGTTCTAGTTCTAGCAGAGAGAGTCTTCCATGAATACTTCTTCAGCCACGTCAGGACAGATCTGGGTAGGTACTGCTCTGTCTGTGCGATCTTAGCTTTGTTATTGTCCAGACTTGTGGTTTGGTGATGACAGCCTGTGGTGTTGGAGCGATCATGTCTTTGTCTTTAGATCAAATGCTATGAAATATTTCTCCATCATAACCTACTGCATCCCATTTACCTCTCCAGTCCTATCGTCCACTCACAGCCGTACATGTTCTGGACAATGTGGACTCTGAACAGAGCAGATATTGTTGTAAAACAGACTGAGATCCAGCAGCAAGTCAGTCATTAACCGCTGATTTCACATCTTTACCACAGAACATCACTGATCCACACACACACCAACACACTTACAGCCAGTCACCATCTGAGCCATCTGTGTTTACTCCTTATAGAGAGAGACAGAGAGGCAGAGACTGCTGGGAAACTGAGTCAGATCCCAACACAAACCAAGTCCACATCCTCTCTTTACCAACACACACACACACACACACACACACACACACACCACACACATCACACACACACACCACACACACACACACACACACCACATAAAATAAACACAACAAACACCTTTTTTGTCTTTTCTGCTGCAGATAAAAGACTTCAATGAATTATTTTGATGATCAGAAATTGTTTGAACGATTAATCTGTTGATCAAATAATTCAATGAACTGATATCCATTTTTTCAGCACTAATAAATGTATTCGCCATAGACACTTGCTTAAGTAAGTAATACTAAGATCTAAACGTGTAAATTCTTCCTATATATGAATTATCTGGTGACACAGCGTGGTCAAGTGCAGTAACAAATAAATCTCATCTGTTGTTCTACTTTAAACAAGTCATCCAGACACAGGAGTGAAAATGTTCCACAAGTTCAGAGACGGAGGAGAAACTCCATATCCTTCCTTTTATCGACCAACACTGAACAGTGTTTCATTTCTAAACTCTAAACAAACAAAGAGACAAACTTCATTCTAAATATTTGTGAAAACATGAGCCTGAAAAACATCTGACATGTTTTTAGCCCTGATGAAACAGGATTATCTGATCATCACTATTTTGTCAGTTTAATTTCTGCTGATCAGCTGATGGATCAATCCACTGATGGTTTTCCAGACTCTATACACACTTTAGAAGGAGTGGTGGTTGAAAATGTTTTCCAAACACAATGAGTGTGTAGTGATTTTCTTTCACAACGTGAGTCAGGTTTTAATCAGAACTGTGATTGGATGAACCGAGCTGGATATTTAAACACACACACACACAAATCACACACAACACACACACACACACACAAGAAGCACAAAACCACACCACAATAACACACATAACACACACAGCCGTGAGCAGCACAGATGAGGCTACAGGTCCCGCTTACACAGTAAAAATGAAATATATGACACCTGTTATCTAACAAATGACAAACTCACACTCCACGCCTCTCCACAGAATCACCAGCAGCCACACTGTTCGTCTTCTGTGCGCATGTAGATAATCCACCTGTGCACAGCATCAGAGAAACTTTAGTAAAACACATTCCCATATGTTGTCAGGCCTCAGTGATGCAGCCACATGGTTTGAACGTCGCCTTTATAGACAGTAATATTGGGTCACAGAGTGGTGAAAAACAACGTGGACTAAAGTGTGACGTCAGACCTAACAGGAAGTGTGTGTGTGTGTGTGTTTCCCAGTTTCCCAGCAGCCTCTGCTTCTCCGTCTCTCTCTATAAGGAGTAAACACAGATGGCTCAGATGGTGACTGGCTGTAAGTGTGTTGGTGTGTGTGTGGATCAGTGTGTCTCTGTGGTAAAGATGTGAAATCAGCTGTTAATGACTGACTGTGCTGATCTCAGTCTGTTTACAACAATATCTGTCTCTGTCTCAGGAGTCCACGTTGCTCAGAAGATGTACGGCTGTGAGTGGGACGATGAGACTGGAGAGGTTAATGGTTTTATGCAGGATGGTTATGATGGAGAAGATTTCATAGTGTTTGACCTAAAGACAAAGACATGGATCGCTCCAACACCACAGGCTCTCATCACCAAACTCAAGTGGGACAATAACAAAGCTGTGATCGCACAGAAAGAGCAGTACCTGAACCAGATCTGTCCTGAGTGGCTGAAGAAGTATGTGGACTATGGGAGGAGCTCTCTGCTGAGAACAGGTACAATCACATGATCTGATGAAGTTTCATGAACAACAGTCTTCACATGTTTCCTCTGTTTCTAACCAACAGTAACAATAAAAACATTTCTCCCTCCAGAGCTTCCCTCAGTGTCTCTCCTCCAGAAGACTCCCTCCTCTCCAGTCAGCTGCCACGCTACAGGTTTCTTCCCTCACAGAGCTGTGATGTTCTGGAGGAAAGATGGAGAGGAGCTTCATGAGGACGTGGACCAAGGAGAGATCCTCCCCAACCATGATGAAACCTTCCAGATGAGAGTTGACCTGAACATTTCATCAGTCACACCTGAAGACTGGAGGAGGTACGACTGTGTGTTTCAGCTCTCTGGAGTGAAGGAGGACATCGTCATCAAACTGGACAAAACAGCAGTTGAGACTAACTGGGGCAAACCTGGAGTCAGAGGTGATGGAGGTAGGAAACACATTTAGTTTACTTTCATCTGATTTATATTTTGTCTTGTTGTGATGGAGGGTATTGTGTGTCTCTGTGTGTCTCTGTATGTCTCTGTATGTCTCTGTGTATCTCTTTGTGTCTCTGTGTGTGTCTGTGTGTCTCTGTGTTTCTCTGTGTCTCTGTGTGTCTCTGTATGTCTCTGTGTGTCTCTGTGTGTCTCTGTGTGTCTCTGTATGTCTCTGTGTGTCTCTGTGTGTGTCTCTGTGTCTCTGTCTGTGTCTCTGTGTGTGTCTCTGTATGTCTCTGTATGTCTCTGTGTGTCTCTGTGTGTGTCTCTGTGTCTCTGTCTGTGTCTCTGTGTGTGTCTGTGTGTCTCTGTGTGTCTCTGTGTCTCTCTGTGTCTCTGTGTCTCTGTGTATCTCTTTGTGTCTCTGTGTGTCTCTGTATGTCTCTGTGTGTCTCTGTGTCTCTGTGTGTCTCTGTGTGTCTCTGTGTCTCTGTGTGTCTCTGTGTCTCTGTGTATCTCTTTGTGTCTCTGTGTGTCTCTGTGTGTCTCTGTGTTACTGTGTGTCTCTGTGTGTCTCTGTGTCTCTGTATGTCTCTGTGTGTGTCTCTGTGTGTCTCTGTGTGTCTCTGTATGTCTCTGTGTGTCTCTGTGTGTCTGTTGTCATTTTAGTTTCTGTCGTCCAGGTCAACTGTTACTGCAACAAATAATCCATTACTTCTCACTGACGTCTAAAGACTGAGACTTTACTTTATTATTCAATGAGGAATGCAATCCCATGATTTGTTTATTTCCTTTTGCATCAGTTTATACATGTCATATAAATCATTACCTGTTATTAGTAAAGGTCAGAGGTTATCTCAGTGTAAGGAGCAGCACTTCCTCCGATGTGCAGCCTGACACTCACTTCATTACTTCCTGCTTTACTTTACAGCTGCTCCAAAACTGATTTGCTTTGATCGTCACCATCTGTGATGGAACAAAACTCTTTTTTAGCAAGTTTAATATTGACGTGTTTTCTAATCAAGTGCTGCAACATTTTGCTTGTTGGACTTTCTTTCTTTCTGCCACTGAACGTTGATTCTGAGCTGAACACGACTTAGATTTGATGCAGATCATTTTACCTTTACGTGGTGCATGTGGCGTGATGAGTAATTCAACTTGATAAAACATCAAACCCCCTCTGCCATCTTGTTCTTTAGTAACTGTACTGTAATGACTATTACAGCCATCAAAGATAACATGTCTTCACTTTTTAGCAGGTCAATGATTATAATGTAATGTTGATAATCAAACAGTCATGAGTTACATCACAAAACAAAGTGAGATCCCAGTAAAACATGACTGTTCTAACTCCCACCACTGCTTGATCCATTGTGTCTTATTCTTGTGATCCTCTTCAAACACTCCAATAGCTGAAGTTGTGTTCATAAACTCATACTGATCCTCCAGTGGTTCAACAGTCAGTGTTGGAGCCTATTGACTTAAGTTAAATATTGGTTTAGCATAATAATTGTTTTTGGATTATTTGTAAATTAAGTTGAAAATTAATTTCTATGGATAAAATAAGAAAAGGAATTAAGAAAGAATTAATATTTATTGTTATTATTGTAATGGATTGTTGATTAGGATCCTCCTCCTCCTTGCCGCCCATGATTACAGAGGGACCACAGCTGGTTTCTTTGTGTTCTTCGCTTGATGGATTGAGTGAGGCATGGGAGGAGATGATACAGTTTTTCGACCGCTAAATACGCTAACAGTAAAGACTCTAAAGTCAACCTTAGTTTCTTTATTTGTTTATTTATTTGTTTATATACTGAAAGTCAACCGGAGATCTTTTTTTTATGGAAATAAAAACCAAGTTTTTAGTTGAAGCCATCTCTGTGCATGCTTATTTTGTTTTAGTGAGTCGTAGCCCTCCTCCTCACAGACTGCTCTTTTATTTTTAAACTTTTTGAATCATGTTTTGGGTTTGTTGGAATACAAGAGCAGCCATAACAGTCAGATAAACAGTGTGAATGTCCTGATGTGGTTCCTGGTTCTTCAGAGTTCCCCTCTGCTGCTGTCATTGGAGTTGTTGTTGGACTGCTGCTCGTCCTGGCAGTCTGCACCGCTGGATTCCTCATCTGGAGAAGACGCAATGAAAGACAAGGAGGTGAAGAACAAAAGATTGTTTCACGTGTCATAAAGGCTGTTTTTTACTTCACAGCTGTATCTAACTGCACATCTGTGCCAATGTGTATGTGTTCGTGTTCTCTTTTTTACGGTAATTTTTCGGGGGCATTTTTCCCTTTATTCTGACAGCACAGTGAGCGATAGATAGGAAAGTCAGGTTGGGGGGGGGGGGCTGTGTGACATAAAGCAAAGGGCCACAGGTCAGACTCAGTCCCATGGCCGCTGTGGTGAGGACTAAGCCTATGTGGTACACTCTCTACCACCTGAGCCACCGATGTTCCTATAGCTTCATTGTCTTTATGTCTGTTGCTCCTGAAAAATACAAAGAACAGAAAATGTAAATGTTTGATCTACAGTCGGATGAAAACGTTTGTAATAGTGATACAGATGCTGCTGCTGTGTCTTTTTGT